CGGCGCCTGCGCGGGGAGGTCCCCGCGACGGCCTGGACCAGGCTGTGGCCCCAGGGGCGGGAGGAGCGGCCTGCCTGGGATGGGTTTGCAAACCGGGCTGTGCGAGAAAGTAGGGGGGAAGCACCGTCCCCCCCCTTTGCGCTTTTGTCTGTCCCCTGGTCCCTAAGCGGTGAAGGGTTCAGAGTGGAGACACCCACACCACCAAGACGGAGCTGTGGATCAGATTCAGCAGCTGCCATCTTCAGTCCTGGTGGCAGTGGTGTTAGGTAACAAGGGAGGGGAGTGTGAGGCCAAGGACTGGGTCTCTGCTAGACACCTGGGTAGGGGTGGTGAGCTTCATAAGGACACGTGAGCGAGACTAGTGCCCTTGGAGTGATGGTTGTAGGAGTGAGGAGGGTCTAGCTGGTGCAGGGTTTTCATGGGAAGTGGACCTGAGATGGATGTGGAGACAAGGCAGTGAGATGACCTTAAACTTGTTGGCTCACAGGCTCTGATGCTCACTGGGACCTGGGATTAGCCCAAGATCCAGTGGGACCCTCTGGGAGAATCGTAGGCATGCTGTGAGCAACACTTGGGCCTGGGCTACCAGTAAGCGTCAGAGGAAGCTGAGGCTGTTGAGCAGACAACTTTGCAACGGAAAAGCGGCCTGTGGGGGTCCGAGATCTGCGTGTGGTTCCAGACGGCTGGGAATAAAGCAAGAATAAGGGTCAGGTAGGGAGGCCTTCCTGGGAGTTGCCCCTGGCAATCAGGGCCATTGGAGGCCTGGATAGGATGGGATTCAGATCACATGTGCCAAGTTCCCCCTGGATGCCATGTGCACATAGGCGTGTGGTGAAGCCAGGGAGGTGCATGTGGTGTGTGTTTCGGGGTGGTGGCAGCAGTGAGGCATTGGGGATGTGAAGGAAAGGGTGGTACAGAGTGATGTACACCTTGGGAGGGAGTGTAAACTCACGGCCTCAGGCTCTTGTATTGGAGGCAGATGGGAGAGCAGTCACCCAAATTAGATTGTGGCCCTGGCTGGTGTTGTTCAGTGATAGAGCGTTGGCTTGTGCACCAAATGATCGAGGGTTTGCTTCCTGTGGGCTCAGCTCTTGGGTGGGAGGCGTGCAGGAAGCAGCCGGTCAATGTTCTGTCCTCACATCGATGTTTTTCTCTCTCCTTCTCTCTTTCTCTCTCTAAAAGTCAATAAAAATATTTAAAAATCAAACACTGTCCCCATCCTGGCAGGGCCATGTGACCTTTGAAGACGTGGCTGTCTACTTTTCCTGGGCAGAGTGGGGACTCCTGGATGAGGCCCAGAGACGTCTGTACCGCAGTGTGATGCTAGAGAACTTCTCATTGACAGCCTCTCTGGGTAAGGTCCTCGCAGCTCAGGCCAGCATCCCGGGCTGGGCTTGCTCTTCCCCAGGGGGAGGCCTGTCCTTCCCAGAGCTGGACCACGGGCACTGCTTCCTTCCCCACCCTGGAGTGGGTGTTACGTGAGCACCCAGCCTGTGCCTGGGTTGTGTGCACCACCCTCTCTGTCCCCAGCTGCCCCAAAGACTTGTGGGAAAGCGCTTGGGGATGAGGAGCCTTGCAGTCAGCTTAGTGCATCACACTCTTGGCCTTTTCCTGGCCTGGTGTGAAGGTCCATGGCAGTTCTGTCCCTAGGTCCTGCCCTTTTCCTCTGGTTGACGTGGGATCTGCCTATGGCAGGAACTGAGGCACCAACATGGCCATGGCTTGAGTAGGTGGTTCATGCAAGACCCTCCTCCAAGGTTTTTTTTGTAATATTTAGAGTTCTTTCCTGTGGTCTGTCGGGGTGCGTTGCTCTGACCCACCAGTCTTGTCTCTCCCTTAGGACTTGCATCTTCCAGGACCCATGAAATCCCCCAATTGGAACAGTGGGGAGAGTCCTTTTTGCCTGCCTGTGGTGTCAGGACTACAGCCATGCCAAGAGGTACTTGGAGGGAGAATCAGGAGAGGTGTGAACTCAGGGAGGAGTTCAAATAGTACCAGAGTCTTTCCAGTGGAATCTTCACCAAAGGATATACGTATTGATTTTGGGGGGCGGCGGGGGGAGAGAAACATTGATACAAGAGAGAAACATTGATTGGTTGCCTCCCGTACACACCCCAACCAGGGATCAAACCCACAACCTAGGTACGTATCCTGACCAGGAATCGAATCATCAACCTTTCGGTGTACAGAACGATGCGCCAAACAACTGAGCCACGTGGCCAGGGCCAAAAAGATTTATTGGTTGATTGATTTTTGAGAGAGGAAAGGAGAGAGAGCAACATTAATTTGTTGTTCCACTTATCTTTAAGTAAGTCACGTGTCTTGGGCTGTTTAGTAATGCCAGCAGCTGCCTTATCGCTGGGGCTGCCTGTGAGCAGGAGCTGCAAGCTCAGACTAAATGCTCTCAGTACCCAAACAGCTTCCCCTTTCCCCATCTCTTCAAATGAAACCTTTGAGAATAGTTTGGATTTCTAGTCTAGGAAATTACGAATTTCAGTTTCTAATTCCTTGTGACCTCGGTACCGTCGCAGGGTATTCTAGGTGGATGAGATTCACCATTGAGGGTGGAAAGCTCTGGCAGTGCTTGACTGAGGCAGCACAGAGCAGCTCAGAGCAGCACACAGGGATGTCAGCATGACACTGGTGGAGCCCAATTGGGACAGCCAATTAGTAAGCCAAGCAGTTAAGGGGCATCTCCTAAGTCCCCCTGTGCCAGTAACTGGATTATCCTGTTTGTGTTGCCAATTAAATTTATTGGGTATTTTGTATTCTTTCATGAGATGGTCAGTCAGATGTGGCCACAAAGACAGAGGAGACGTGGGAATAAACAACATTTATTATACTCACAGGACCCAGAAAGACAGAGTCACTGCTTGCTGAAAGGAGGGGTCACCTGGGAAAAAGCGCCAGGAGGGGATTGAACCAGGCAGGGGAGGAAGTGAGAACCCATAGGTAGTGCCTTTATTGGGAGTCAGGGTGGGGTACACAAGAAGAGATGTGAGGGGATTTCATTGGTGCATTTGAATGGCGCTAGGTCTGAATCAGAGGAGGGCATTCTTATAGTCTTCGAATACCAGCTATTCAGTTGCTTCAATTTTTCTGGATCTGAACACACCCTTCTGCTCTGTATTCTTGTGTAACCAACAGCTAAGGCCCTTAGAGGAGTGTGTTGGAGCTGCACCCATCCTTGTGTCCTTGCTGCTTATGAGGCCCCCACTGACCTGGAAGCTTGTCAGTCCAGCACTGTACAGCAGGCCCTTCCTCACACTGATCTCTGTTCCTTCATCCTACCAGCAGTCCCAGGGACTCATAGCTGGGTGTGTCAGATGCATGTTTGTGAGGATGCTGCCCCCTCCCACCAAAGTCTCCATCCACTTCATCAGCATTTCTCTGCTTTCAGATTGTTGGCGTGGAGCAGAGGTTGAGCAGAGTGGTAATGTAGAAGGGGTGCACAGAGCAAACCTTCACCAACACCAGAAGCTGCACTGTGGAGAGAAACCCTTAAGAGAAGAGTGGGAGCAGGGTGAGAAGGACTTCCTGATTAGCTCTGGTCTTAACCAGCAGGTGACTCACAGTATACGGGAGCCATACAGGAATACCAAAAGTCACCCTGAAAAGAGGCATTACAAGTGCAGCGAATGTGGGAAAGCCTTTGGTCAGAAATACCTACTTGTTCAGCACCAGAGACTACACACTGGAGAAAAGCCTTATGAATGCAGTGAATGTGGGAAATTATTTAGCCATAAATCCAACCTTTTCATACACCAAATAGTTCACACTGGTGAAAGGCCTTATGGGTGTAGTGAATGTGGAAAATCCTTTAGCCGCAATGCTGACCTCATTCAACACCGGAGAGTTCACACTGGAGAAAAGCCTTTTACGTGCAGTGAATGTGGGAAAGCCTTCAGGCATAATTCCACACTTGTTCAGCACCACAGAATCCACACTGGAGTAAGGCCTTATGAGTGCAGTGAATGTGGGAAATTCTTTAGCTTCAACTCGAGCCTCATGAAACATCAGAGGGTTCACACTGGAGAAAGACCTTATAAGTGCACTGAATGTGGGAAATTCTATAGCCACAAGTCAAGCCTTATTAATCATTGGAGAGTTCACACTGGAGAAAGGCCTTATGAGTGCAGGGAATGTGGGAAATTTTTTAGCCAAAGCTCTAGCCTCATGCAACACCGCAAAGTTCACACTGGAGAAAAGCCTTTTAAGTGCAATGAATGTGGCAGATTCTTTAGTGAGAATTCCAGCCTCGTTAAGCACCAGAGGGTTCACACTGGAGCAAGACCTTATGAGTGCAGGGAATGTGGGAAATTTTTTCGCCACAGCTCCAGTCTGGTTAAACATCGGAGGACTCACACTGGAGAAATGCCTTATGAGTGCTGTGACTGTGGGAAATCGTTTAGCCAGCGTTTTAATCTCATTCAACACCAGAAAGTTCACAGAGGAGAGAAGTCTTGAATGCAGCTAATATGGACAAGCCTTTAACCAAAAGTCTGCTCTGGCCCAGCAGTGGAAACTCTACACCCCAGATAGGCCTTATGAGTACAGTGAACATGAAGAGAGGTTCAGCCAAGGGCCTAATTAACCTTGCTCAACACTGGAAAGTTCAGACTGGAGAAAGACCTTAGGAGTGCAGGGCATGTGCTGTCCCTGGTCAGCCTAACCTAACACAGAGAGAAGCTCAGAGTAGCCTTTATCAGGGAGCCAACAATTGAATATCATTCATCCCAATACGCACACTGAATGCAGGACGATAAATTGCTGACATTCTGCCCCTCCCCAGAAGGTGGCCCTCTGTATCAATCTGGAATTGCGTTTTCATTTCTCTTGAGTTTGGAAGGATGGGGGAAGGGAGTGGTCTTGGTTCAGATGTGACTGGCTCTTGCTCTTACTGAATATTATATTTACTTGAATAAATGTTTCTTTATTTGCTGTACACCCTTAGAACCATTTCCACAGTCTTAATGTCCCCACAAAACCCACACGGTCATGCTGGAAGATGATCCACATATTTAACTTTTTAAGCACTTGCCAAATTGTCTTCTAAATGGTCATGCCATTTCACATTCCCTCCTGGAGTAGATTAGATTTCAGGTTTCTTCACATCCTGCTGACCTTTGTATGTAAGACATGGGCCAGTCATTTTGGCCATTCTAGTATGTGTGTATTAGTAATTCATTGTCTTAATTTGCATTCTCCTAATGGCTCAATGTTGAGCGTTTCCTCCTGGGTTTATTTGCCATCTATGTATCTTCTGTTCATATCTTTTGCCTACTCTTAAAATAATTGTTTTGTCCTGGCTGCTGTGGCTCGGTTGGAGCGTCATCCCAACACCAGAAGGTATTAGTTCAATGCCTGGTCAGAGCACATCTTGATCCATTTAGTTATAAGTGGACACCTAGATTTTTTTCATGTCTTGGCTACTGTAAGTAATGCTGCCATGAACATAGGGGGTCATATGTCATTTTGAATTAGTATTCCTGTTTTTCATGAATAAATGCCCAGAAGTGGAATTTCTAGGTCTGTGGTAGTTCTGTTTTTAATTTTTTGAGGAACCTCCATACTGTTTTCCACGGTGGCTGCACCAATTTGCAACCCCACCAAGTAAACAGAGTTTCTCTCCCTCACATCCTCACCAGCACTTACTGGCTGACTTTTTTGATGACAGCTATGCTGACAGGTGTGAAGGGATCCCACTGGTGTTTTAACTTGCATCCCTCTGATGATTAGTGACGTTGAGCATCTTTTCATATGTCTGTTGGCCATCTGCATGCCCTCCTTGGAGAAATGTCTTCACAGGTCCTGTGTCCATTTTTTTTTTTTTTTAAATCCTCACCTGAGGACTTTTCAGAGAGTGGAAGGGAGAGAGAGAAGCATCGGTGTGAGAGAGACACATCAATTGGTTGGCACCAGGACCAGGCTGGGGGTCGAACCCAAGACCCTTCAGTCTGAGGGCCAACACTCCAACCACTGAGGCAAACCGGCCAGAGCCTGTGTCCATTTTATAATCAGATTTTTGTTGTTGGGTTGTATAAGTGCTTTATAAATTTCGGATATTAACCCTTATTAGATATATTGCTTGCAACTATCTTCTATTCAGTAGTTGCTTTTTGTTTTGTTGGCTTCCTTTGCTGTGGGAAATCTTTTTAGTTTGATGTCATCCCATTTTTTTATTTTTGCTTTTGTTACCCTGGTCTGGGGAGACATACTGAAAAAAACATGGCTAAGCTCCATGTCAGAGAGTTTACTGCCTGTTTTCTTGTAGGAGTCTAATGGTTTCAGGTCTTGAATCCATTTTGAGTTTATTTTTTGTGCATCCTGACTACTTTGATGTGTTTTAAATTTTTTTTAA